TGGTTCTTTCAGTTGTTTAGTAAATAACTCCCCAGTCTGATATCCTTATGTGGGATTACACATATAAGGATACCAAATTAGAGCACTATCTACTAAACACATACACATTCTCATGCACTCATACATTATCACAGACATACACACATACAATTAGACAGCCAGTCCTGTTACTACCATGTTTGATTAGCTAAGTGGCGCTAAACTCAAGAGGCCGCAATCACCCTTGGAAAGACCTTTCATTTAGCTGCTTTGGAAGTCTGTGATTGACAGCCACAGAAAGTCTGTGCTGGGAAAGAAAGGGAGAGTTTGCAAAGGCTGCAGACAAGAAATCTTAACATTCTGAAATCTGTAGCAATACAAACCATTGTCTGGAAATCTATTCATAAACTGGACTATACATGAGACATGAGGTCATGTGTTTCGACCAGAAGAAAGGAGATTTAGTCTAATGCAAAGGAAAGGATGTAATAACAATAAGGATGTGGAATTATCTTCCTGAAGAAGTGTTTAATCAGATGCATACTTGCAAAAACATAATATTCAGGGATATAATTTTTAATTTGTGGGGTAATAGCTTCTTGATCCAAGGATAACTATGACTATCATTTTGGGGCCAAGAAGAATTGTATTTCCTAGTTTGTTCCAAAACTGGAAATGCTTCACTAGGTTTATGTCTTGTTTTGGATCAACAGCAAAAACAGATGTGAGAGAGGCTGAACTTGATGGACACATGTCTCTTTTCAGCTTATATAACAAGGTAACCGTATGCTGTTATTAGATATACATCTAATGAAAACATTCATAAGTAAATGCATAATTTTATTCATTGGAGGTACACAGCTGTCATAAAAAAAAGAATGTGGAAAAAAATTGTCAAATTGTGTTCTTTATCTCTTGTATTTAAAAGGATTAAATAAAAACAATACCATGCCTTTTTATTGGATTCCTAATTTGAAAGAACATTCTTGGTTTTTTTTATGGCTTTTAAAAATGAAATTATACATATAATATTTGCCATTATATGTTATATAGTAATCTAGGCTGTAACAAAGACCCTAAACAAAAAACCCTCTTTACAGAGGTGATGGGTGAAACAATTCAGTGCCTAAAATACAAAGCAGATCAAACACATAAAGTGGAAAGACCCAAATACATCAAGTTCAGCCTTTCCCACATGTCTGTTTCTGTTATTGATCCAAAACAATTTCCAATTGTGCTACAAAAAAGGAAAAAGCAAAAAAAAAAAAAAAAGCAAACATTCTTGACTTGAAATGAATATATATATATATATATATATTCTTTTATTGAGGCACTTGCATAAAATACAGAATATATAAGAAAACAAAGAGTTGTGTTAGTTGTACAATTGTATAAGTTAGTGCAGAGGTGTAATTCTTACGAAATGAAGGCTCTTTTTTGTAAATAATAAAACAGGTATAAACATACTCTGGTAACCAGGCCCGTAGTGTGTGACTTTTAAAACTTCAGTCGCAAACAGGTTGCCTTTATTAGATGGATACCTGTCCAGGCCATATGGGGTTAATAAGGGACAGTTATTCATCTCCCGAATGTAATGTGAGAGAACTAGAAGTGAGCCTGTGTAGTAGTGTGAGCCGTAGAGCGCGCTGTCTAGATCCATTAAGGACCTGATAAGGGTATACTATGTGTATGGTCATGCCTTAGGCATTGTGTTATGTATAGAAGAGTTATGGCATTAAGCTCCTTGACCCTGGAACTCAAGGGTGGGAGGTGGGAGAATTGTTATGAGGAACCACATAGGAATTATAGGAATTAAGGTCAATATTTTTACAGACAGTGCCTCACTGATCTTAGACTAGGGTTATGGGTGGACCCCAACATAGGCACAACATTCGTATAGCCCTGGAGCTCTCAATGAGCTTCCAACATATATATAGCATCTTGCTATTCACGGTTGACAAAGAATAAAATATGTAAGAGAAAACAAAGGCAAAAAACAACAATGAACATCAACATTAACATAGGTGTACGTGTGCAAGTCCTGTAGCACTTTCGCCACTGGTTGCTCAGCCTGGAGCAGTGGAACTGTTTGGTGTAAAGATCGCCTGGTGAGTCCCAGTGATTGCATGAATGTGTGTGTGCATTCGCCATTGAGGTCAGTCTATATCTCTTGCCTTGCTTCTCCACAATAAGGGCTCGTGCGTTACCCCACTTGTATGGGACTGCGGCGGCTCTCAGATGAGTGGTCACTTCTCTCAGGGAAGCCCTCCATTGTTGTGTTGGTCGGCTGAGGTCATGGTAAAAGCTCAGTGAGTGTTGTTCAAACATATATGGCCTTTGACCTTTGACTGCGGCTAGAAGTGCTTCCTTGTCGGCCCGTGAGCGAAAGCAGAGTATACATTCCATGGGGGGGATGAGTTGGTGGAAGGCCATCCGGGTAAGTGGTAGAGGCCATCCAGGGTTAGTCCTTTAGCCTGTTTATGTGACATCGTGGCAGAGAGCAAACGCCTGATAAATTGTGGCAGTTCACCTGCATCTTTGGTGTCTGGGATCCCTTTCACCTTCAGATTACGCTGTCTTGCATTATCTTCCAGCTGGCCCACTTTATCATTCAGTAATGTGCACTGGTCGGTTAGATCTTGCAGCTGTGTTTTGTTTGAGTCCTAGGCCTTTAATGTCCTCTTCTGTGGCCTGGATGCGGCCAGACAGTGTGCCAATCTCTTTCTTTAGTGTGCATATCTCAGATGCAAAGAAGGCTTTAAGGTCAGAAACCATGCAGTTTAAAACCGGTTTAGTGGCTAGTGGAGGTTCCTTTCTGCCCAGTGACAAAGCTCTATTGCCCTCCAGTTGTGTTAAGAGCTTGTCTTCCTCCTGGTCCTCCTCGTCAGAGGCTGAGGAGAATCCTCAAGGTAAGTCTGGTAATGCGTCTGCCATTTTGGGCCATGGAGGTCGTGAGAGGAGTCGTCTAATATCGCGGGTTTGTCCCCTGCTAGACTCTTGAGACTTTCGGGCGTGTTTCCCCGTGGGTTTCTTCATCGGGTGGTGTTGTTGGAAACCAGAGATCTCTGCTTTTTGCGGTAAGTTATCGCTTTATTGCAGGCCAGTTGCCGGAGCTCAAGACTCATGCGGCTGATCAGAGCACTGCCTAGCTCCGCCCCCCCAAATGAAGATTTTTCCATGAATCAACAAGAGGTTACCACAAATATTAACAAGATCCCAAAACAAGAACATTGCCAGCTACAATATCTGAATGCACCCCTCCAATGCAGGGTACACACAGTTACAAATTGCCAAACACACTAGAAGACTCACACACAATCACACTGCTAGCTACAAACTCCAAGACACACACAATTATATTGCTAAACTGCAAGATACATACTACTACATTCACACATTGACATTGCAGTTATTTTTTGTTATCCTCTATTCTGCTTACCATTTAGCAGAGTGGCTTCTGTGGGGTTGAGTGGGTACTGGGCTGGCTAAGCACAGGGCAAGGGCAAGGGCAGAGATGGGGCAGGAAGCTTCAGATGGGTGCTCTCCTCCCACACTGTTTCTCCTTCTCAAGTGCTGGGGAAAAGTGATCTGAGATCACATAATCGCAAGTAACTACACTGAGTAAATTGAGCTGCACCTCTCCGCAACCTGCAATCGAGCACAGATATCTGAATATCTGTCAGGTTATCTCTGAGGGGGGTGTTCAGATATCAATAGCCTGCTTGGATCCAGCAGCCAAACTTGCCATGCAAAGGCACCATGCGTGCCATAGGTTGCTGACCTATGACCTAGAACTATGAAATAACAGATTGAATTTAGTAATCCTTTTTTGTTATACTGATAACACTGTAATTAATTTTATTAAATGTACATATAACTAAATGAATACATCAGATCTAAATAGTACAGAAAATGTGCATTCTGAAAATACGCCTTGATTGTAAACAGTTGTTTTAATACGGCTGGTTTAGTATGCTTATACATCATTGACTACAGAAGACAATCTTCATTTTTGGAGTGAAACAGATAAAACTAACACCCTGCATGCCTTTAGGGATTGTGGAGTGGTGGGCGGATTAGCACAGATTGTTTTAGTCACTTGGAGGTGTTGGTGAAAAGAGATGAAAAGTGTTAGAAGTATAAAAGAAACAACAAAAAAAAACATGGAAAATGAGCTTGCACTTGGGCATTTCCATGAACTATACAACCTCATCCGGCCAAAACATTCCATATATTAATGTTCGTACACCATTAGAGATTCATTAGATGCTTTATTTTTTAATACAAAAAAAAACATTATTAGCAAAAAAAGTGTTTGACATTTGTTTTTGACTTACTTTAATTGCATGTGAACAATTTGTAGCTCGATACACATACCAAGCCTCATCTTTCTGCGTTATGCTAAACAATATAAACATGCAGATTTAACATTCTCTGCAGTATTTTTTTTTTTTTTTTTGCCTTGGCTGGTTGTCATGCAGCGATATGTGAAGCTATATTCTATGCTCACGGGTTTCTTCTACAATGTCCCTGGGATAGGAGTGATGTGATCTGGTAAGAGCTATATTTAGGCTGTTATCCAGGTACCGGCATTATACTCAAGAGCAGACGCAGACCTGAGGGTGCACTCCAAGCACCCATACATTAAGTGCAATGTGTAGCTTAGGTTAGTTAAGTTTTTCCTGTTGGGTTTTATCAATATTCTTATATGCTTATCCTTTCTACCCATTTTTCCCCAAGTGTTTAACCTTTTGCTTCATAATGCTGCTGTAGACAATGTCACGGTTTCTGGGAGTTGTATTGTAGGTCACCCAGAGGTTTTCTACAGTAGAAAGCCGACAACCGAACTTCAACTCTTTTGCAGTGCCCATAAACCACCACTTAAGGAATAAGCCCTAAATAAATTAACAAATTGAGTCACTTCCTGATCTTGATAGAGCGTACTTCACAAGCTGCACAAAATGAGAGTTTGTAGTCAATTCAGGAATTATTTTTAATTTACTGTTTTGCATGTAATGTGAGTGAACTAGTTATACAATGCATTATAATGGTAATTCCAGTGGTTACCCTTTTTCATTATTACAACTGATAATGTGTCTCTCAAAGCAACTGTATAGGCAACAACACCACAACATGTCTAAGGAGAGATCTTGGTGCCATGCCTCCAGCCCCATTTTAACACTGCAACTGAAAACATTGTTCTGCAGGAATGGCAATACTTTCATTTCCAGGATTAACCTGCCTCTAGTGGCACTTCCATAAAATAGTGGAGTACAAATCCACTATTTCAATGATATGATCTCAGAAAGACCATCTGATTGGCGCAGTGCATTGTTTTGCCTTGCACTAGCCTACTAATGGGGAAGCTTGGATTGGCTGAGATCATTGATATCGATGATCTCAGCCAAAGAGGCAAAGCTGCATGTTGGAGACCATTGCTGCCTGGGAGAAAACGTAAATAAAATCCCCTTTTTAATCTTGGCAGCGGGGGCATGGTTACCTAAACAGGGGCTAGGGCACCATAGTGTTAGAAATGCACATTCCTAATGCTGTAGTGTTCCTTTAAAGGAGTGCAGGGCCAGCTAAGAACTGGACATCTATTTAAATAATAACTGAAAAGTTTACTTTAACCCCTTAATGATGAATGACGGACCCGGTCAGTCATGCCGGACTGGGTCCATCATGCGCTAAAGTTAACCCCAGATCACCTGCAATCGTGGAGTTAACGCTCCTCCGGTCTGCCTCGGTATTTGAGGCAGACCGGGAGTTACCAATCACGCCGTCCCTGTAGCTATGATTTCTCTGACAGGCTGTCGGAGCGAGCACATGTGCTGCAGGGACTTCTGATCCGCCTCCCTGCTCTTCTGCGTTCTTTGTGTGTGCTGGGAGACGGATCACTGCTTATCTTCTCCCTGTGTGGAAAAAAAAATTGTTAGTTTAAAATCCCATCCCCCTTTACCCATTTTAAATAAAAATTAACACCTTCCCTGCCAATTGATCACTGACTACAGTGATCAATTGGCAGAGACTACATTTTAATGAGATCTGATTTTTTTTTTTTTTTTAACCGCTGACAGTCAACTTTTTTTTTTTGTAATCCTCAGGGTTAAATTTATTTTATTAATGAATTTAAATATACTAAAATTATATATTTAGCTAGCTGGGTTGGAAGTTAGTGGGGAATTTGGTGTTAGGCTAGCTGGGGGTTAACGTTAAAGTTTTTAAAAAGTTTTTTAAAGTTTTATTAACGTTTTAAAAAAGTTTTAAAAATCCCACCCCCTTTACCCAGTCCTAATCAAAATTAACGCCTTCCCTGCCAGTTGATCACTACCTACAGTGATCAAAATACAGATCACAGTATTATACTCTGGTCCGATTTATTTATTTTTAACCCCTTAGGGTTAACCTTTATTTTTTTTAGCCCTCAGGGGTTCAATTTATTTAATTAATTTAAACATTTTAACATTATATATTTTGCTAGCTGGGGTGGGAGGGAGTTAAGGAAAATTGGGGAATTTACTGTTAGTGCTGCTTACTGCTAGTTAAGGGTTAACGGTAAAAAAAGTTTATAAAAATGTTAAATGCGTAAAGAAGTTTTATAAAAGTTAAAAAATGTAATAAGCAAAAGAAAAATTTAAAAACGAGTTTAAAAAAAGTTAAAGTTTAAAAAAAATACATTTAAAAATGCTCATTACCACTACACCTGGAACAAACTAGAGAAAATATTATCCCACGCTAAGGTTCAAAATATGCCTTTTGAATTACACCAGGGTATATTCTTTAATAAATAGTATTAGTTTGTGGGGAAGTTTGAATAACCAACCAGCTAAACTACTCCAAAATGGAAGATGGACACAGCGTAAAACTTCAAAGTTAGAAAAAAACTGAATGGCTGCATCTCAAATGTGCCCCTTCAACATCCACATATACCTGGCAAAGGTACATGCGGGGGTATTGCTGTACTCAGACGACATAGCTGAGCAACATATGTAGTATTATACAGTCGTAGCACACATAAGCTTTGCAAAATATACAGTGCAAACTTACTTTGTGTGTCAAAAAGGCAGAAAAAATGCTTATCACTACACTTGGTACAAGCTAGCGGAAAAATGATCCCACGCCAAGGTTCAAAATATGCCTTTTGAAATTCCCTGGGATGTCGTCTTTAATAAATGGTATGCCTTTATGGTGTAGTTGGATTATACAGCCTGCTAAAATACTCTAAAATGGGACATGGACACAGCGTAAAAATTAAAAGTTTGAATAAAACTGGAATGACTGTCTCAAATGTGCCCCTTCAATGCCCACATATACCTGCCAATGGTACATACGGGGGTATTGCTGTACTCAGACGACATAGCTGAGAAACATATGAAGTATTATACAGTGGTAGCACACATAAGCTTTGCAAAATATACTATGCAAACTCACTTTCTGTGTCAAAAAGGCAGTAAAAATGCTTATTACCACTACACTTGGTACAAGCTAGCGGAAAAATTACCCCACGCCAAGGTTCCAAATTTGCCTTTTGAAATACCCGGGGATGTCTTCTTTAAGAAATTTATGGTGTAGGTGGAATATGTAGCCTGCTCAAGTGCTCCAAAGTGGGACACGAACACATCAAAACCCTTCATGAAAATTCACACTTAAAAACCTGAACATGTCACATCTCTTTTACAGCACTGTAACTTCACAAAATAGTGTCTAGGTCAGTGACAGCGAACCTTTTTGAGCCTGAGTGCCCAAACCGCAATACATGCAAACTAAGGTTTAAGTTTAGAAAAAAAACAACTCTTACAGTTGTCCGAACTAATTAACAACTTTTGTTTTAAAAGAAGAACACAACAGAGAGTTCAATTATACAAATTTTAAATAATGATATAAATAGATAAAATTAACCCCTTAAGGACCGAGGACGGTTCAGGACCGTCATCGGCATTTTTGCCTTGAGGACCGATGACGGTCCTGAACCGTCCTAACGGTCAGAGCTACTTACCTGATCGCCGTCGTTCCCCCGGCGGCGATCAGCGTGGCTCCGGTTGTGGGGAGACTGCCTGCAGCCCAGACGGTCTCCCCACGGCAGATTAGGACCCCTGTGGCCATGTGATCGCTTAACACAGCGATCACATGGTCACAATAGGTGTCCATGTGTCTGCCTGCAGGGGGACTGCCTGTGCTGACAGGCAGTCTCCCTGCTAGTGTAAAATCAAAAAAAATAAATAAAGTTAGTGTTAATAAAAAAAAATAAAATAATTATATATGTGTATATATGATATATAGACATATATTATATCTATATAATATATGTCTATATATCATATATATATAATGTCATACTAAGTGTATTTTTATATTAATATGTACTTATATTAATATAAAAATACACTTATAATTAAATTACACACTTATATATATAATATATATAATAACTATATATATTGTATATATATATTATTATAAAATATAAATAATAAGTAATTTAAATTAAATAATTTTTTTTTTAAATAATAAAAAATTAAAAAAAAATTATATAGCTATATGAAATTTTATTCTAACTGTATTTTAAAATTAATATATATATATTTATATCAAAATACACTTAAAATGAATTTGTATATATATCTATGTATATAAAAATAAATAAAAATAATAAGAAATATACATACGCCCATATACAAAATTACATAAATAATTATATAAATATACACGTAGACTTCAAATATATAAATATGCATATATATTTAAATTCTACGTGCGTATTTATGTAATATTTTTACATAATTCAGTAATTTTATTGATTGCAATTTGAGGGACCTGCCTGCCAACCCAGGCCGAAATTCCAGAGAATTTAATTTGCTAGCACTGTATTTTACCCTGTAACGTTCTACGACACCCTAAAACCTGTACATGGGGGGTACTGTTTTACTCGGGAGACTTCGCTGAACACAAATATTAGTGATTCAAAACAGTAAAACATATCACAGCGATGATATTGTCAGTGAAAGTGACTTTTTTTGCATTTTTCACACACAAACAGCACTTTTACTGATGATATAATTGTTGTGATACGTTTTCCAGTTTTTAAACACTAATATTTGTGTTCAGCGATGTCTCCTGAGTAAAACAGTACCCCCCATGTACAGGTTTTATAGCATTTTTGAAAGTTACAAGGTCAAATATATGGGTCAAATATTTTTACATTGAAAATGGCCAGGTTGGTTACGTTGCCTTTGAGAGCGTATGGTAGCCCAGGAATGAGAATTACCCCCATGATGGCATACCATTTGCAAAAGAAGACAACCCAAGGTATTGCAAATGGGGTATGTCCAGTCTTTTTTAGTAACCACTTGGTCACAAACACTGGCCAAAATTAGCGTTCAATTTAGTTTTTTTACTTTTTTCACACACAAACAAATATGAATGCTTACTTTGGCCAGTGTTTTCGACTAAGTGGCTACTAAAAAAGACTGGACATACCCCATATTGAATACCCTGGGTTGTCTACTTTAAAAAAAATATGTACATGTGGGGTGTTATTCAGAGATTTATGACAGATAATAGTGTTACAATGTCACTATTGATAAATTTTAAAAATGTATGTTTTGAAACCGCAATATCCTACTTGTACCTATAGCCCTATAACATGCAAAAAAAAGCAAAAAAGCACGTAAACACTGGGTATTTTTAAACTCAGGACAAAATTTTGAATCTATTTAGCAGTTTTTTCATTCGCTTTTGTAGATGAGTAAAAGATTTTTCAAGTAAAAGTCAAAAAACATGTATTTTTTTCAATTTTTCATCAGATTTTTTATTTTTTTTAAATTAAAATACATGAGATTATATAAATAATGGTATGTAAAGAAAGCCCCTTTTGTCCTGAAAAAAACAATATATAATTTGTATGGGAACAGTAAATGAGAAAGCGAAAATTACAGCCAAACACAAACACCACAAAAGTGTAAAAATATGCCTGGTCGCAAATGTACAACATCGCAAAAACAGTCCAGTCCTTAAGGGGTTAAGCTTATATATATTAGTATCTCCAACAAATGTTATACATACACACAGACTGCTGAACATATTTACACACCGACTGCTTAATACATTCACACACCGACACACACACAGACTGCTAAATACACACACAAAGTCCGCTGAATACACACACGGATAGACTGCTGAATACACACACAGAATGCCAAGTGTACACACACACACACACACACACACACAGTCTGCTGAGTACACACAGTCTGCTGCATACACACACACACACACACAGACTGCTAAATATACACACAGTCTGCAGAATACACACACACACACACACACACACACACACAGACTGTTGAATACATACAGACTGCTGAATAAACACACACACATACTGCATTGAGGGGTGCAGTGTATGTGTGGGGGGGGTGCTGTGTGTGTGGGTGGGTGCTGTGTGTGTGGGTGGGTGCTGTGTGGAGGAGGAGTGCTGTGCTGTGTGGGGGGTGAGAATGCTGTGTGTGGAGGGGGTAGGGGAGCTGTGTGTGTGTGTGGAGGGGGGGGTAGTCATTAGTTGAAAGTTTCCACTACAATCAAAGCTTTGTCCTAAAAATTAAAACAGCGCAGGCATTGGTTCATTTAGATGAAAATCTGATCACTGACATAAAAATCTCAGATAGATAAAGCAAATGGAAGGTACGCAGAAATGGGAGAGTGCCATTTCAAGAAGTGAATACTGATGGGTCTCTTTGCTAAAGTTTGAATGACTCTATACAATATGGGGCAAAACCATCAGGTACCCTACAAGGCCATTTTGACTACAAAATCTGGCCAACGGTTA